GAGGAGGGGGGTGGGGTGAAGGATTTTGGGAGGATCACACGGTTTTCAGGGGGGAGTATAATGGGGGTACGATAGAAAATTGACTGCCAATGAGGAGGGATATGAAATTTATAAGGGACTTATGGAGGATAGGTAAATGTGATGGTGACACAACCAAAATCCCCTAACGCTCCCCGCTCCCACCCAGATGACAAATAATGACTTATCCCAGGAACTCATTACGTATATTACCCAGTCCCTAACCTCTACCAGAAGGCTCCTCCTTGTAAAGAGTTGGTTTCAGGCATCAGGTGCTTCAAATGGGTAGGGATTTCCCTTTTTCGGAAAATGGTGAAGAGAGCTTGTGGGGGAATTCCTCCTTGTAAAATCTACTTGATTTGTTTCTGACTTTCCCCCACCCCCACCCCCCTCATTCATTATAAAAATAAATAAATAAATCGGCGTAAAATTTCCAGCCGGACGTGAGGGAACGTTTCTCGTCCACTTTGAATTAAGACGAGGAGCTGAGAGATGAAAGATGAAAGAGGTAACGCAATCTGTTCGATTAGTATTCCTATGGTACAGTTTTTCACTTGACAGGTCGATTAGGTGAGATCCCCTAAGAGGGGTTAGCACAATTTATCCGTACGATACCACTGCTAAATCAATACTTAAGTCATGAGAATAAAAAATATATCACCAGCTTAAGAAGCTCGTAATCGTTAGACAAATTCTCCTGGTCAGCACCATAGGTAATATATAAAGAACAGTTTGGAGATCACGTAAACTGATCTTAAGGATTAAAGGGTCAAGGGAGGTGTTTGTTTTCACACCTGTTCGCGCGTGTCGCGTTTCTCGGCTTCTGGAAGACGGGTTCGTTTTGCGCCGATCAAGCGAATCTGTTGGTTAACCAGTTCCAAACGAATCTCCCTGTCCCTTTTCTTTTTCAGTTTTCGAAAAGCTATTTGGCTTTATTGCATACGTTTATTTACATGCTGAGTCGGAGGTAATTTAAAGCGAATTTATTTGAAATGAAATTGTATGCAAATTGAGTTGTCACGCACTTATTGTCGCGCTAGATTGTGACATACGCAGTGACAGGGAAAAGCGTACGTGATGATCTTTTAGCTTGAATGAACCTGAAAGGCAGAACACATGTTAACGAAAGAACAGATAGGGTTTTGGACGACTTCGATTCAATAACAGGAAGGCGATAGGTAAGTGAGTGATTTTTCTTCATACGGTTGACATAGAAATATGAAAGTTTCGATTCTCGGTGTTGCCGTTTATTCGAGAGAGGAGGACTCAGCTGATTTGGGCAAAACCCTAAGGTGTTGATTCTCACATTGTTGAAGTCACTTACTTGAAGTCTACAGCAGGTTCAATATAAAGTGTTTAGAAGCTTATCTTTGACCGCGTACTCTACGTGGAACTCTTTAAATTACCTTAGATATTCATGGATTAACAACGATCGAAGTAGATGCAGTAAAGAGCCATTTGTTTTGTTCGAATTCAGTCGAGCGAGTTATTAAGTTTAGTTGCATTTTGGGCCTGATCGAAACCCTCTGGAAGCAGGAAAAATTAGTAATCGATAATATTCGCCTGGAGTTGTATTTTTCGCCTAAAAAACTGACTCTTTAAACGCGGAAATAGTAGGATCTACTCGATTTCGTAATGTCAGGAGAGATCGATCGCGTATTATCGCCAACTTATTCAGCGAACTGAATTTTGAGAACGTTCGATGCCATTTGCAATTCAAACAATTCAGTTGCTCATAGCCCATTAACGTACAGTAGAAGAATTGTTTGCATTTGCTAAATACCTTCACGAAGTTTTCTTTTCGTTTGTAGTACTTTTAAACATTAATATTGCATAGAGGGTAATAACATGGACGCCGTCATTCGTAAGAAATTTTACGGTTGGAATAAAGAACGCCGCTAAAAAGCCCATGGGAGTTGAGTTAAATGAATTGCAGGCTTCCTTGCTTTGATGCAAAACACTTAAAGAAATATTCCAACGAGCTTCGTGTTTGCTTTGTTGAAATGAAACGCAAAGTTAGTTGAGATATCGCAAATCAGTTGCGTGACTGCACGGAAATTTAACTTAAATGGCGGCTAGCTTATTTTGGAAAAAACGAAAATATCGTTTATCTTATCTGCAGTTTTGAAGAACATTCAAGATAGTCATTCTAAGAAAAGTACAAATTGTATTACATTTCTTTGTCTGGTCATGTGCTGTGATGTAAGATTCGAACTCATTTCGAACAAATTACTTGCATGGCTCCCGTTTGTGCAGGAAGGGAAAGTCCTTAATCTGTTTGCCAAGATCGAAACTTACATCGAAATCGTTGACTGCAGCGGATACAACATGCTGATCGTACCGTTTCAAAAGTTATATCTTTTCTTAAGCTGACAGAAGCTTAATTGTAAAGGACACATTTTGGAAGAAAGGAATTTAAGAGTGGTCTGTTTTACCCCTGTTTTGAAAACAATCTAAATTGTAAATAATAATAGTAATATGAAATATTAATGGTTAGTGTCGGTTGCCAACCTGCCTTTATTTTTGTATTAGGAACAATTTCAGCGGAATTATCTGGCAGTGAAATCTGCGTTGGAAAGGGTTTTTTCTGAGGTTTCCAAGATTTGAAAAAAAATGGCAGATTTGGATTAGGAGTCTGTAGTTATATGATTTGTGTCAAGCTTTGAATTGACCTGTGGACCTGTGGAAATAGGAGGGGAAGGGAAAAACAACAGCAAAGACATTGGGGGCTTCTGTAGTGGAGGGGAAAACAGTCACCTATGAAAATTTTTTTCTCAAACATAGGACCACTAAAAGCCACATTTTTGGTTGCTTGAAAAACAATGAGTTACTTGTAGGAGACTGTCACCTTTTTATAGAACATAAACAGTACACTATTTGCTAGCGTCAAGCTAGGGGTGTCGCTATCTGCTCATTAACCCATTACACTCAAACATCACTAGGCAAGCTCTCCATACTGTTCTTTGTACATTTCTTATGGTACTTAAAGGAGAATTTGTATATCAATCAAGAGCTTCTTGAGTTTATGATCAGTATACAAACAGTATCAGGAGTGATACTGTTTGGAAAAATAATATGCTTATAATCACTTGTAAGGCTGAAAGGGTTAAGCCAGCAGAGATGTCTTCAGTTGGTAGTTCTGACCGTCATAAACATGAATGCTGCTGTGAAATTTACTAATTAAAAATTGATGTCTGTGTGCACAAGGTAGACAAGAGTAACACTGAGGACTTGGTATAAGTGCCAATTATTTTGAAACAGACTCTTATTCGCAACCACCTCTCATAAGCAACCACTTTTAGAGATGCTGTTTTTAACCTCGTCTAGACCTGTGACCACTTTGACATACAATCAACTTGACCTGTCACAAGCAAAAGCTGAAATTTCGTTTCAAAAGATGTTGTGAAAGTGGAGCTACTGAAAGTGTTTCTCAAAATATGAAACAATCGGCATAAATCTTAAATTTTTTTTCTTTGAATAAGCAGGAAAAAGTTATTACTATATGTTTTGATAAGTGCTAATGAAAGGTTCCAGTCACCATATGCAAACTACCTGAAATATGGATGCCCAGTGGCCTGACCTCTCATAAGAGACCCCCCCCCCCCCATAAGTAACCAGCTAGACTTGATATTTCAAGTATAGTTGCTCATGGCAGATGCGACTGTAGTAGGATTTGTCATATTTTTAAATGACATCTTCATCCCACGGGGTTATTAGGACACTTATTTTTTGTCTAAATGCAAAAAATGATAAATTTTGCCATGATAATTGGGGTTCTGTCATGTTATTAATGTAATCAAAGCTTGATCAAGACAGAAAGTGACATTTCCTCATAGTTTACAGATTCTGACCACATTTGGGTATCTCAACCTGTTAATATTTCATCATGCAGTATCTTAAAAACTGAAAAAAAAGATAATTACATTCTCACTTGTTTCTTTGGTTCTTACTGATATAACACTTGAGTTCACTCATGAAAGAAGCCATCAGCACCCAAAACTTTGAATCCTCACGACCATTTATATATCACAACAAAGCATCTAGACATACTCCAGTAATCTCACTTTGATTCAGTTTCCATAAATCTCGTACTTCTTTCTATAGATATCATCCCTGCCATTTATTTGCCTTCTTGTCAAAAGTTATGATATATTAATTTAATTTAAAAGAAACCTGATGAGGTCTCCAGCACTAAGGTTATAGAAATTTTTTGTTTGCAATTCGCAAAGTGAAGCTTACGACAAATTTTTGTATGAAATGGATCCTATTTTATCCATTATTAAAATTTCAAGGAGTATTTAAAGTTTAAGTTTACTTAATTAGCATGAAATATGATTATATTTAAATTTGGAAATTTGTAATTTACTGATTTTAAATGTTTCCCTATTTAAAACAATCTCTGATTGATGAAAAACTGTTGTGACAGTTAATTATGGTATTTCAAAACCTCATTAATGATTCATGAGGCTAACAGCCTATCAAAACATGGATGAAACGTCACGTACCTGACCCTTTAAACCTGGTAATCAATTATCATTCTGAAAAGTCCGGTGGCACCTTTCTTTGATCTCAGTCCCAAGGTACTTCTTCTCTTCCCCGGCACTTTTGGTTCTCGAAACACGCGTTTGGGCGGCATTTTAAGTAAAAGCTCCCTGAACCTTTGACAGCAGCCGAACAGGGAGCACTTTTCGTATCTGAATATAATTAACCTTTAATGTATTCGTGTCACCTTTATCTAAATCTTTACAGAGACATAAGGTTTTGAAGCCGTTCAAAAAACACGCAGCGCGCGTTTTTCTCACCTTTATCTAAATCTCGAGAGAGGCAAGGGGTTTAAAGCTGTTCTGTTTTTAAACCGGCATTACTTCAATGTCAGAAAGAAATGTGAGATATGAGAGTGAGTTGGTTTTGTAATGTTGTATTGATGTTGTAAGAAGAAATTCTGTGATGGTCACTCGCGGGAAACAATGGGTTAGGCCTTCTTTCAACAGCTGCGTGAGGGTGTAAGTTTCTGTTTCAATGGCTCACCTTTGTTTCTTTGTTTGCTCCAGGTTACCGTGGTATCAGTAATGACAAACAACAATGTAGTAACCATCAGTTGGTTAGTGGCTCAAGATCTACCCCAAGCCTACATCCTTACTGAGAGACCTTCAACATTCAATCCTAATGCAACCTTCGTTAATGATAAGAAATATCTCATCGACGACTACGTGGCTAATGTCTCAGAGGATAACAGGCACCTCAAGGCAATGAGAGCTTGTCCAGTGGCCGGAAGTAAATTTCCCATCTTGGTAACACGGGATATAAATCCACTTATTAGAGAGGTAAGGCTACTTGCTGGAGAGGTTAACCCCTCAACTCCCAGAAGTGATTAAAATGTAACTTCTCCCTTTATTATTCCAACATTATCCAGCAAACACGTAATGAGAATATTCAAACTTATCAGGTTGAAGGTGTTATCTTAATCTAACACCAAATTCTCGTAACTAAAGTTTCCATTTTAGGGTCTATTTTTTTTTTTTTTACATTATTTTTCATGTTTTTTCTTTTTATTATTTCTAAAAGTTTAAATCAAATCTTTGATTCAGAGAAAAAGGAAATTGACAAATTAGGCTAAACAAAGTTTAGTTTTACCTGAAGATTTTATGTTTCTGATGTTTGGTTTTTCTGAATTCGATTAGCACTGGTCAAAGTGGTTACCATTTTTTCCCAAACCTGACATAAGAATCTTCGACAAGGAAGACACAGGAGACCGACCATTGATCGTCAATTTTCCTTTTCAAAGTTTCCCCGCAAAAAAGCATGCTGTCAATCCCGACATTCACTACAAGCTTAGCTCCAAGGCCAGAATTCCCGAGATGGGGGCTCCGTGCCCGAAGTACATGTCACGTGATAAGTATACTCTCCCTTGTATTATAAAGGCTGCTCAGGGTAAGGGAAAACGTGGGACTTTTCTCGTGAGAACAGAGGAAGAAGTTACAGAAGCCTTTAATGAGCTTAGTAGTCACTTCTGCGATGCCGAACTTGTGGTGACAGAGGTGATTGAGAATATTTCTAAGTGTCTGCTTGCGCAGTTGTACATCTTTCAAAATGGACAATTTTACTGGTTAGGCGTCAAGTGCAAATCGAACCTACCATTTGTCAAGCGACCCGAGGGATATATCCCGACTCCCGACGTCAACTGGGACGAGCAGGAAGAGCTGAAGGAGATGTTGCATGACATTGTGCATCCAGTTACACAATACCTTCACAGAAATGGCTACTTTGGTTTTACTGGGGTAGAGATTTTAGTGAACGATGAGGGATGTTTTGTGGTCGATGTTAATCTCAAAATTGCTTCATCGACAAACCTTCTTTTAATTGCCCCTCACATGGCCGCTTTGAAATATCCAATTTCTTATGTCATGGAAATTTTGCCGACCAACATTAAACATTTACTCGAGGCTATAGACAGTTTAAACCTTCAAGGAAATGGAAGGGCGATTGTCCTTGCTGACGGCGAGCTTTCAGTCGAAATTCAACACAAAGCTTGTGTTGTGATCTTCGCTAAGAATAGTGAAGACGCATTCAAGCTTCAAAGAGAACTTATGAAAGTTGCTGGTAGGGAAATTTCTTCCGTTACAAGTCTAGGTCCGTAGCTTAGAATGCAATTTACATTTACCAGTTTTTTCTACTTTGTGAGCCGTATAAATTTAAATTAGCCCCTCTGGCCTCGCTTGAGGTAATGTATCCTTTTGAATTTTGTACTGGAAGAACGAGGCCAGAAGGGCTAATTTAAATTTCAACAAAAGAATATTAATCCGGCAGCCATTCATGAAAGTGGTCTATGCACGTTACCGCTATTCCCGAACGTCGCTTGACCATTATCGTATTCGTAGCAATTATCTATTTGGCAAGTTTGAATATCGCCAACTACTCGGTATTGTTACGAAAACTTTCCGAGGATGACTCGTACTCCCTCGGCTATTGCTGACCCCACCAATCGCTGATCGATCACCCGTCGATAGTAGCCAGATGACCTTATTACTGTAGTTTAGACATTATTCCCCTTTCATGGCGAATAGTGTCTAAACTTGTCCTTAATTAATGTATTTACCCATCGATAATCTCAAATACAACGATATAGAGTCACATAGATAGTCATATAGACTGCACAGCCTTTCGGCTGAAAATACGGACCTTAAGCAAGCCACGACGGCAACGGCAACGGCAACGAGGACGTGGAGAAACAAAAGATCTAATTGGCAGAACAATATCTCAGCACGTGCATTTTAAAACTTAGTACATTTCTTAGCCGTCCTTTGCAAAACAACGTGAAATCACCAAAATTTGCGTCGTTTGCGAACCGAAACCGCGGCGGCAAATTATTTGAATTTCCATTTGGAACATAGCGCTACTTTTATACGTTGTTTTGAGGTTGAGTTGTGGCGCCGTATGAGGTGGTAAACACATGCTGCCGTTTTTGAAATTCTAATTAAAAGTAGAAATTCGTTTTATAATCGACGTCTTCCTTGGCGTTGCTGTCCTGACTGCTTAAGGTCCCTACTGATGGGGGAAGGGGTAGGGTTACAGTTGCCAGATTCCAACACTGATCCAAATCTATCAACGAATTTGTTACATAAAACATTCAAATAAGAATAATTTAAACTCAAAAAGAAGACAATAACGTACGTCAAGAACTTTGCACTTAAAGAAGTACATATTTATATCGCAAACATACATTGAATTTAAGTGAACCAAATTTACCTCGCTATTTGATATTGAAATTATTAAATTATAATTAATGTACTTACCTTTTGTAAATTTTGAATGCTAAAATTTCACTTTGCACAAAGACCTAGGTTACAACTTTAAGCTAGACTTCTTTTATAAGGCTACGAAGGACACGAAGTGTTCTTTACAAGTGTTCGTACTGTTTATAGTAGCTAAACGTGGAAGTTCGTTATGTTTTATAATGTTGGTATCCGTAAGAGAAAGCCATGTTATTGCCACTGTAACCTCGACATGCATTAGTTGGGGTTATTAACTTTTTAGATCGGGGGAGTGTAGCATTACGTCGTAATTCAGCTACTTTTAATTGAATTTCCATTAAACCTTAGCGAAACCGGGATTTGGTTGAACTTTAAGGGGCCCTATGATTGGTTCCGCCAGCAAACTAGCGGTAGCTTCTCAGCCAATCAAACGCAGCTATAGTATAAATTGCCACTTAGTTCTACGCATTTTTTCAGCGCTTGAAGTGATCTGACTGGTTTCATTTTGAGTTTTACTGGTTCCTTACACTCTTTCTTTGGCTCCAATCAGTCCAAAGGACTTGATAATTTACAGTGGCCGTGGTCGGCTCCCCTTTGACATTTGTAAGTTAAACTCCAAAATTAGGCTTTTGTACTGAACAGTCGTCTGTTCATTTGCTACTCTTGCCTAGGATGATGAAAGTTCTGAACACTGTTAATGAACGCTTTTTACCAGTCTAACTGAACGAGAAATAAAATCGCTTAGATACACAATTGTTCTTACAAATGTGTCGATTACTGTCTGTGAGGTTTGATGAACGGGTATTGGCCGAGTTCTGCTTAATGTTTCTTGCGAGTGTTGTCTTTAAAGGCGAGACACTTAATCCAGCGGTGTCCCTCTCCTACCAGGGATATGAATGGAAACTAATGAACTTGCAGAGAATCCGGGAAAAATGCTGGGGAGAGGGGGTGATGTACGATGGCCCCTGGCATTATATCGAGGGGGAAAAGCGATACTCACAAGTGCTTCCTGCTACGGAGTCTGGCTTAGCTTCGCACTCTTTGGACATTCATTCTTGTCTGCTGTTACAAGTAGCTAAACTTGCTGGTTGAAGTTCATACTTTACCTTACTACTTGCGAGAGGTACCAGGATGTAGGTTTGTGCATGATTTGAACGGTATTACCAAACACCTACCAAGCAGTATTAATATGACCAATTTGTTTTATTATTTGACCTAAATAAATCTTAAACTCCGAGACAATGAAAGTTAAATAAATGAATAAATAAATAAATAAATACTCTCTTTAAAGGAAATATGATTCTTAGCTTAAAAATCCGCCTCCCGGTTAGCTCAATAGATAGAGCGCTGGACTGTTGTGCGGGAGGCCGAGGGTTCGAGCCCCGGCCGGACCAACACTCAGGGTCTTAGAATAATTGTGAAGAATATGCTTCCTTTCTATAACATCAAGAAATGATTAGATATTCTAGTCTTCTCCGATAGAGACAAATAAATGAAGGTCCTGTCTCCTGCAGGGTTAGGGGCAGGAGACGTTAATTTCCCACGCACGAGATTACTGTGTGATGGATGTTCCCCCCTGGGGTGGGATGGGTGGGTAACAGGACCCCCGTTGATACCAGTGTTCCTCCACTGAAGGGGATATTCGGTATAAATATAGATGACTACTTCTACATACATTCCCCAATTACACGATCCGGTAATTGATGACTAGGTCCATAATTAAGTCGGTTGAAATAATTCCGTTCGAAACGCGACGAAATTCAGCCCGTCGTTGGTTTCTTAGCTCAGAATTCTTGCCAGAGTGAAATATGTTATTCGCGGGTTTAAAATTAAAATTCGTGAGCTCTGAAACAGTAATCAGTAGGTGAAAATGAAGCGCGCGAAAATTTTGCGTAATGAATGAAGTGGGTACTGAATATTCTTTAAAACTGATAATGTACATCATTTGAAGCTTTGAGAATTTTGTTTACTCTGCCTTCACTTGAGTGTTGATGAAAGGTCAAATCAAGGATGTCGAGGGCTATTCGGCTCTGTCTTTCTATACTACTGCCCCTACAAGAAATAGTGCCGTTATAAGCGAGACTCGCTGCCTCGATCGCGTAACTCGGACATTATGCAAAAGTTCTAGCTACACATAATATATCAAGTTTGGCAACTATTCATAGACATAGATAGGTAAAAAAACATAGCTCTGCCCTGCCACTTTAAAGGTATTTCTCTCCAATATTTATAATAATGCTTAAGTTTGGCTCTGTTACGAGTCTGTTTCCCAACACTCATCCGAGATATAACTGGAATCCATCCGTAAATGCGTAGTGCATTTAAAGCTTCCATTAGAGATCACTCTCTTACAGGCTGAGCCTGTTTTCTCTGGAGCACAACAGCGCCTGCGTGGAGTGCTTACTTTACTACTTGGGGTGGAGGCTGCATCTGGGAAGGAAAGGTTTAACTGACTTTCGGTATTTCCCACAGGTCTTTTGGGTGTCAAAGTCACAGCTGAGTCGTCCAGGCTCTCGATACTGTCTAGAATAATAGGGAAAAAGTAAAGAGGTTTATTAACTATGGAAGTTATCAACAGAAAGAGCCTTTAAGCGTTTTTCGATTAAGTGTCGTGAAACCAAACCCAAAGTTATCACATCGACCAATCAGAAGAGAGAAAAATACCTTTTGAGCCAATGAGAACCCAAAACGAGGGCGACCAAGTCGTGATTGGTTCTAGTTTTGCATCTGATTGGTTGAGAGAAAGGAATAAGTTCTCTGGACCAATCACAGAGCGAAGTGGACCAAACCAATGCAATCCAGGATTACCTTCGACACTCAAATTGTAAAATGCTTCCTCATGAAGAATTGACCTTCCAAAGGATTGACCTACTTTGTCGACTCGCCCGCGTTGCTTCGCTTTGTTTTATGACGTTATGTCAAGCGCTTTTCTGTTAAATTCTGTTCTTGCTTGTGTAAAGCGTTTAATTCAGAATAAAGGCAACTCCATTAGAGATTGAGGGTGTTCGAAAACCTTTCACAGCAATTCAAGTTTTGGCCTCGAAGTATGAGAACAATTGAATGTCTAATGGAAAAATTGAATCCTGAAAACCCGGAACGAAAACATGCGTATATTGATGTAGTACGTGCATACATATACTTCTTTAAAAAAGAAACAACACCTACCTATTGTATCCAGCATGCTCTCTGTATCATTTGAAGTTTCTTGACGAAGAGAGCTCGCCGAATTTAATGCCAAAGGTGAAGATTTAGACTCGATCAGCGTTGGATGGGAAATATTTCTTTGTTAGGTAGAAGTATAACCAGTTCCCTATAAGATCATGGGAACTATTAGAAGCCATTCACAAGCGTGCAAAATACCACGTCAGTCAACTAATAGCGTTTCGTCAAAAATGGAGACAGTTTGAAGGAAAACATACGAGTTTCACATTTCCGAGTTATCTTGAGGATTTTCTTCGCACGGGCGCCCGAGTGGCATGCGTGCGAAAGTTGGCTACTACATGAGAGCTATCTCTATCAACGCACCGAGGAGCCATCTTCTCACGCATACCACTTCAATGTTACGAATGCCAGCGAGCTGAAATTTTATTCCCATGTGTACTAGACCCTGGGAAACTCGAGGTTTAAAGCACGACTCTGGGAAACGTGTGACGCCGGAGGTGCATGCGTGCGAAAGTTGGCCTCTACCTAAGAGGTACCACTGCAAACGGATTGGAGAGCCATCTTCTCACGCATGCCACATCTCTGTTACGCATGCCAGCAAGCTGAAATTTTATTCCCAGGTACACTAGACGCTGGGGACCGCGGGACTCAAAGCAAAACTCTGGGATATGTCAGGCGCCGGAGTGGCATGCGTGCGAAGGTTGTATTGTATTGTACTGTATTGTAATCTTTATTTAGACACGATCAATTCATCAGCCTAAAAAAATACATATCACATACGCTAAGATATTTAAAATTAAAACTACATACTATAACACTAAAGCTGTTTTCCGTGAATGCCGTGCGTTAGACTTTAAAAATGTCATTGATCTTACGTTTAAATAACCCCAGAGACTCTGTGTTCCTTATATCGCGTGGTAAACTGTTCCATAATGTGGCGCCATTGTAGCTAAAGCTTTTTCTGTAATAATTAGTGCGCGGTAGTGGAACATTAAGCTTATTTTCAGAGTCCCTGAGGTCATAAGCAGAGTCACGCCACGTAAACTTTGAATATAGATACCTTGGAGCTAGCCCGTGCAGACATCTAAACATCATGGTGGCTTTATGGATTTCCTGCTGGCGTGCAAGATTTTTCCACCCTAAAAACTCGAGTAGCTCAGTTGCATCAGCATCATAGTTAGAGAATGTCAACACACGGGCTGCTCTATTCTGCAATTTCTGCAGTTTGTCTCGTAGCGTTTTCCCACAGCTACCCCAAACAATGTCACAGTAATCAAAGTGAGGTTTTACTAAAGCTTGGTAGATGAGATGTAAGGTTGATGCTGGGATCAGGTGCCTAATTCGCTTTAGGGCCCCGATACCAGAGGCGATCTTTTTCGTTAGTTTTTCGATGTGACTATGCCAATCGAGTTTATCGTCTATTATTACACCAAGCGATTTTGTAGCTG